CAAAAATGCACCATCTTCATGTGAGGCAGATGGATCGATTGGTCTTGGGGGTGCTCTTGGACAAGCAGGCCTGGTTTCTGGGAGTCAGTCAATTTGTTTTCCATTGTCATGTTGCATCAATTGATTCAATTGTGTCAATTGCTTCTTGTCAGTGAAATTGATCCAGTTCATTGAAATTGTTTCTTTTCAATTTGGTCAATTTCAATCAATTGGATCAATTGGAATTTGTGTCATTCACTTTGATTCACTTTGATTCACAGCCAGTTGCATTGAGATTCATTTATATTCAAACGTACTAGATAAATCAAAAGCATATCTTAGATGAGTTTATTGAGATTCATATTCATACATACGTACTAGATGAATCAACAGTGCATATTCATATCTTAGATGACTCTGTTGAGATTCATTTTCATATCCACTAGATGAGCCAAACGTGCATGCATACTCATATCTTAGATGAATCTATTGAGATTCAACTTCATATTTACTAGATAAATCAAAAGTGCATAGTCCTGTTGATTCATTTTCATATCTACTAACTAGATGAACCAACCGTGCATAGTCATATCTTAGATGACTCTTTTGATATTCATTTTCAAATCCACTAGATGAATCAATAGTGCAAAGTCAAATCTTAGATGACTCTATTGATATTCATTTGCATATCCACTAGATGAATCAACAGTGCACAGTCATATCTAAGATGGCTCTATTGAGATTAATTTTCATATCCACTAGATAAGTCAATATTCACCAATATACTTACACAATATACTTACCAATATATTTAAATTTAGATATGAAAACATAATGTCAAGTGCATGGAGATGAATATTAAAAACTATGAATACTTGTATCAATTTCTCAAAATTGATCAAAATTGTTTAAACAATACTTATTCCCGTCCACAAAAATCTGCTCAAAATTGCTCCAAATTGCTCAAACTTATTTAAAAGGACTTATATCTGCCCAAAAAAAATTGCTAAAAAATGCTCAAAATGGTTCAAAATTGCTCAAAATTGTTTAAAAGTACTTATACCTGCCCAAAAAAAATTGCTAAAAAATGCTCAAAATGGTTCAAAATTGCTCAAAATTGTTTAAAAGTACTTATACCTGCCCACAAAAATCTGCTCAAAATTGCTCAAAATACCTGCCCACAAAATCTGCTCAAAATTGCTCAAAATTGCTCAAAATTGCTCAAAATTGCTCAAAATTGCGCTCAAAATTGCTCAAAATCGCTCAAAATTGCTCAAAATTGCTCAAAATTGCTCAAAATTGCTCAAAATTGCTCAAAATGGCTCAAAATGGCTCAAAATTGCTCAAAATTGCTCAAAAGTACTTAAAAAGTACTTATACCTACCCAAAAAATCTGCTCAAAATTGCTCAAAATTGCTTAAAAAGTACTTATACATGCCCAAAAAATCTGCTCAAAATTGCTCAAAATTGCTCAAAATGGCTCAAAATGGCTCAAAATTGCTCAAAAATGCTCAAAATGTCTCAAAATGTCTCAAAATGCCATTTTGAGAAATTTTGAGGTGATTTTGAGACATTTTGAGACATATTCAGACATATTAGGTGATAGAATCAACACGATGCATGATAATAATGTAGTTACATCAATAACGTTGTATGGTGTGCAAATCATGATTAGGTTCACAAACTTCGGAATGGCGACCAGCTTGTGGGGAGATTAATTTGTAGGGAGTTTTGGGTGCAAATCATGATTAGGTTCACAAACTTCGGAATGGCGACCAGCTTGTGGGGAGATTAATTTGTAGGGAGTTTTGGGCATCTCTAATAGGTGATAGAATCAACACGATACATAATACCAATGTAGTTAAATCAATAACGTTGCAAATCATGCTGCAGCAATTGAGTGAGTCAAGCAATTGTAGCCATCACATTTGACACAATTGAGTCAATTGGATCATCATGCCAGCTGCCCCTGTGAACCGAGCTTCCAAGAGACAACGCACTTTGCCCCAGATGATGGAACACATGATGAATCCCATGATGATGAATCCCATGATGGGTGGAATGATGAATCCCATGATGGGAGGTGGCATGGCGCCTATGTTGATGTGTGGCTGCAATGGAATGATGGGACCCATGAATGGAATGATGGGTGGAATGATGAACCCAGCAGCCATGCGTCGAATGATGGAAGATGTTGCGGCTGGGGAAGATGCTGAGGAAGAAGTCCATGATTATGATGATGTTGGTGCAGTCCAAGATGCTCCTCCTCCTCAGCCTGCTGCTGCTTCGGCCTCTGTGGTTGCGCAGCCTGTGGCTCCTGCTGTGCCTGTCCCTGCTCAGCCTGAGCACCAGCCGCCGCCTGTGCTCCCTTACAACAAGAGTGATGATGCTGCCATCACAAGGTCTGCAAGTATGATCAGAGGCCTGGGGTGGGACATGTATGTAACCGATGTTGATATGATGATCCTATGTTTGTTTTAAGTTTTGTTGATATGATGATCCTATGTTATGTTGATATGATGATCCTATTTTTGTTTTAAGTTATGTTGATATGATGATCCTATGTTTGTTTTAAATTATGTTGATATGATGATCCTATGTTATGTTGATATGATGATCATATTTTTGTTTTAAGTTATGTTGATATGATGATCCTATGTTTGATTGAATTTAAGTTATGTTGATGTGATGATCCTATGTTATGTTGATATGATGATCCTATTTTTGTTTTAAGTTATGTTGATATGATGATCCTATGTTTGATTCAATTTAAGTTATGATGATATGATGATCCTATGTTATGTTGATATGATTATTTTTTTTTAATTTATGTTGATATGATGATCACATGTTTGTTTTAGTTACCATGCTAGTGGGAAAATGGTAAAATGTTTGCAAGATAAAATTGTGCAATGTTCATTTCATGAATGGTCATATGGTCTGCTTCCTGTGGTTGTCAGGCATTCCCATGACAAGACTTTCCTATGCCATTGAGAAGTTGGTGCCAGCCCTGGATGCCGGCTACACCAGTGGCCTCACCCAGCGAGGTCTTCTTCAGCTTCTCTGGATCATCACGAAGTTAAAGCCATCTCTCAAGATTTCGAATCTTCGTGATTTGGTGAGAATCAATCAGTGTTGTTGTTTTAGATTACGATTATTAATACTTTAGTTGTTGTTTGTGTAGTTCATTAGATTGTCCCTGTTTGGCCATGTTGTGTTGAGTTGTTGTGTCTTTGCAGCCACAGATAATGTCATCCAATGACAATGAAATGTTTATATACATTTATATATTAATAATGTAAAATATACAATGATAGAGATTCTTCAACATCAGTCAAAGGTTATTGTACCCATCTCACCATCAATCGCCCAGGTGTGACCTCGTATGATGATCTTGGCAACAGGTTCAAGAAGGCCCATGACAGGATCAAGGATTCCTGCGAAGGGTTTCCTGACAACATCGTCCAGGAGCTTCCGTTGGTCTTGGGGGATGCCGAGGTCAATGATGTGGCTGTTGCTCAGGGATGGAAAGATGAGTTCCTGAAGCCTGTTTCTTGTGCAAAGGCTCCTCCGCCCAGTGTTGCTGAGTTCTTTGCAGGCAGGCATCCGGCTGCAGCACCTGTGCCGGCGTTGTCTCACCCCCCTGCGCGCAATTCGTCAATTGCGTCAATTGCCCCAATTGCTGTGACAACAAGCAAAGCTGCTCCGCCAGCTCCAGCCAGCCCAGCTGCTGAGGCAGCTGCTCCGCCAGCTCCAGCCCGCCCAGCTGCTGAGGCAGCTGTGAGAGATGCCACTCCACCAGCTGAGCCTAGCCCAAATGGAGATGCCCAGGGAGCTGAGCCTAGCCCAGCTGTGGACCCGGCTGTCGAGCCTAGCCCAGCTGCTGAGGCAGCAGCTGTGACTGTGCCAGCTGCAGATGGAGATGGCCCACCCATTTGTCTGATTTGCCAGCAGGAGATGACCAATGGCGCGATGAAGACACTTGGGTGCGGCCACACATATCATCTTTCTTGTATGGAGGGCTGGTACACAGCAACATCCAACTTCGAAGAGCGTTGCCCTCTCCGTTGCCAGATCACGCCCCCAGCTGGTGATCGAGCTGTTCGAGGAGCGGATGACTTCGAGGTTGTGGACTTCATGTGAGTCTGAGTGAGTGACTGGCAGATGATCGGATGGCTGAACTTGGCCCAATGGCCCAATCTAGTTGGCAGATGGCTTGGTCAAGCCAGTGAGGAAACTTTAAGTTGCAGCAGAGTTGTTTATGAGTTGTCTATAGTATAATCTCATTTTTTTTTTTGAACCATTGGCTGGCCATCATCGAATTTTATTGAAGTTTGTCTCATTTGGGGGGATTCTCTCTGCAGTGGAGTCAGCTAAATGCCGGACCACTTTAGCTTTGACGCAATTCATTTGTGTCAATTGCCATCAATTGAGGTGTGTGAGTTGCAATTGTGGTTTGCCAGCAGCAAAGGCGTTGGTCTGAAGCTCCATTGGAAGAGATGATGGGGAAAATGCATTGTTATGCTATTGCTATTGCAAGCTGCTTTCATTGAATCGTTAAAAGCTTGTGCTGGAGCTCCTTTTTTTACTTGTGTTGTTTCTGTAGCTTACTTTTCTGCAGGCTTCGTTGTGGAGTGAGAAGGCTGGAACTTCACTGACTTTCTGATTTTTTTACACTTGTGCAATGATGATGGTGAAGTTGAACTGTCAAGACTGCCGGAAGTCATTCATTGCTGTTCGCACATTGGTGAGTTGGTATGTGCCTGCCAGATTTGGATCAATTGACTTCTTCAACTGAAAAAAATTATATATAATGATTCATAAGACAACCAAACAAGAATCATGACAATCAAACCAAACAATCTTCAGGCTTTGAACAAATGATGTTTGAATTGCAGTGCAGCAATGGTGCCAAACCATGGACAATCAGTAAGAGATCACAAACCTAAACCATGGCCAATCTGTAAGACATCATTTGAGTTTCAGGTAGTTCAATTTGAGTCAATTGTGTGATTTGTCTCATGGACTTCGATGATGGCGGCAGTGACAGTCAGGAAGGGCGTGACGACTTTCAGTCCCTGACTACAGACTTGGAGCCCTTTACTTGCGATCACCCATTGCTGAAGTTTGGCCAAGTTGGCTACAATGGACCTGCTGGCTTCATGTGGGACTTTGCCTATGTCTATGACAACCTTCATGCTTTGGGCGAAAAGAAGCAGAAGTACAAGATGTTAAAGGAGCTCCAGGAACAATGCTGTGAAGGGCAACACTTGTCCAGGGAAGATTTGCATGTGAAAAAGGAAAGAAGGCTAGCCAATTTGCCCAAAACAAAATTGTCCTTGATGAATCATGGTCGAACTATGTTAGACATGATTTGACATTGAAGAGGTTGTTTCAATTATGTAATCAAGAGTAATCATCTGCATTTGTTGTGCAGGCGAGGGTGCTTGGCCGTTGATGCAGTGAGCACATTGCTTGTCTTGCACTTTTTGCTCGACTTGCTCAACAAAACAAGAACTGATGCCAAAGCGCTGACTATGAGAAACTATTTCAAAGATGTTGGCATGCTGGTCACCCAGGAAGCAAGTCGCCACAATGATGTGCTGAAGTTTTCAGTTGGTGACTTTCCTATGCATGTTCTGCCTACAGGGAAGTTGCAAGGCTTTCGTTTGTGGCTCGGAAGACATGTTCACAAACAGGTGGTTCAATTGTGGCTTACACTGTGGAAGTGGATGGCCAGGGAAGACAATGGGCCACTTCTGACAGAAGACATTTCCAGCAACGATGATGAGGAGCCATCCTTGGTGGATTTACTCATGTTTTGTGTCAATTTTATACATTCCTACAAGGCGGCCCATTCGTTTCGACAGCCTCCCCCTTTCTCCACCGATAGCATGAGAAATCTGCAACAATGCGTTCTCAAGTTTGTGGCGTGGGTTGTCAACAATGTGGTGCTTGAGATGATGACCCAGCAGGACGATTCTCAGCCAGTGCCATCCAGACGCGTGAGAAGGCTAGGTGGTAGTCAAAATGCATTACATTTTTGTTTACTGTAAAATAGTTTTGTGCCTGTGTGAATTCTCGAAGGTGTGGAAATTAAAGGTTTTGAACCTTGCCAAACAGGAACTCCGATGCAAATCTGCGGAAGATGAGTCCTCATGAGATCTGGCGTGTCATTGAGCAAAGCAAGGATACTGGGGTGTCATACCAAAAGATTTGTGCTCTGCGAAAAGATGACCCACAAGGAGGAATCAGTGAGCAACTGACGTAGGTTTGGCAGAGAAAATTGTTGTCAATGTACAGGCAGTCATCAAGGCTAAGTTTCTTCAATGTGAAGAACTTCGCCATTGTCACGGATGCCTCAACTCATAGCAACAAGGACTACCTGATGAGCCTGGCCTATGACCCTGTAAATGGAGTAGGGGCTCACATGTGCTCAGTTCACGTCAGGTCAACAAAAGTGTTACACCCACAGGAGATGGAGCTGACACCAGAAGCAGAGCGCTTGGCAGCGAGACGGGAAATTGAACGGCTTAGCAGCTTGAAGTTCTTGCAAGGCCTTTCGGCCCAGATATGCAAGTTGACTGACCTTTGCTTGGATGATTTTAAATTTCCTGAAGTCTTGCTCAAAATGTTGGAGCTGCAACCAGGCGATAACTTCTTCTTTGACGACAACGTCGCAGTGCTGAATGGAGAGGAGTTTCAATTAAGTCAATTACGTCAATTGTCTGATTTGCCTTGTTTGCATTGCATCATGGACCAAGGCAAAGTTGGCTGCGCAGCTGCTGCCTTTGTCACTTCCCAAGCTGGCCTCCAAATCCACTTCACCTTCGACAAGATTCACCGCCTGTTGAGAGACCTGAAAAACCCAATCAAAGCAGCTGGCTTGGAATCTTGTGTTTTGGCAACAACGTATCTGTTCAGCGTCAACACCAAGCCTTTTGGAAGTGGCCAATGGTTTACGGAAAAAACTCAGATCTTGGAAGCATTCTTTGAATCCAACAGCTTTGATCCTGGGTCATTTGCTTGGATCTCACTTTTTTGCTGAAGTTGGTTGTTGATTTTGTTTGTTTGCGAATGTAGGCTACTGGAACAAATCATATTTGAAATCAAGTTTTGAAGCAGCTCAGGACTGCCAATGGTTTCAGGCATTGAAAGAGAGAATTGCCAATGATTTTGGTATGGAAGGGTGCTCCGACAGGGAGATCTTTGACTCCATTCCCGAGCAATTGGAATCGTGGAGGCTCAAGGGCGGACTTGCCAAGGCAAGCAGATGGTTTTCCTGGAACGAAGGAGCTGCTGTCCACTTGAAAGAATGGCATAGCTCCCTCATGCTCCTCTCGTGGTACTTCCCAACAGATCTTGACACTGATGGTCAGTCTGGTTTGTTAGGCCTCAAAGGCTGTTTGACACAGATGTATTGGGAAGATGCCCACATCATCTTCAGAGTTCAATATGGAATGTGGTCGTGGTACTCGCAGCAGATCCATGATGTCAAAAGCCCAGAGCATGCAATCATTGAATCTTTGGAAATGGTCGAGTCATGGATGAGTCATCAGTCTCTCCAGACCCTTGCTGAATCGTGGAGCGCTCAAACTTGGGCCGATGTTGAGCGGTTTGTGCCTGACCAGGAGGCCTTCATTGCCAGAGTGAATACCTATGCTCTTGGATGCTTGATGAATCGTTGCGCAGCGCTTTCCAAGTTCTCAGCTCCACCTGAGACATGGGTTGGGCTTCTAGATCCCCAGCAAGCACAGGTGACAAGAATGCGGCTCTTGAAGGAGTATCGTTGGTTTCAATCCTTGCGGTGCAGCATGGCTCCTTTTGCAGCAGAGCTTGCCAGTGACATTGAGACGGTCTTCGATTTGCCTTGTCGTCATTTGTGTCATTTGTGTCATTTTGACTTTGGAGCAGCGCAAGAGCTGGCCAAGCTGCTGATTGGTGGCTTTGCGGATTCAAAAGTGGTGGAGGACATTCACCAAGCATGCAGGGTGGCCACGAACCCAGGCAGCAACAAGAAGCTCTCTGGAGCTACGTTGCAGCTTGTTTGCCAATTCTCTGAGGTTTTGGACAAGAGAGGGATCGTCCATCCAGCTGCCCTAACCCGTGAAGAATTCTTGGACAAGCGGCCTGATGCCAGAGATGATTTCAACTGCCGCCAGGAATTCAAATCATCCAGCCATAGTCTACCAGCTCGCTACTCAGAGATTCTGACGAAGAAGATGTGGCGCACTGTCAGTGAGGATTGGCTTCGAACCTCATACGGGGCATGGCAATGGATGATTCAATACTGCGGGCAAAGGCTTGCTGACCAAGGTGTTCGCCTGGAGGCCAGGGAAGTGACGAAAATGACCAAAATGATGTGTAGCAAATGTTTTTGTGTCAGTTGAATTACCCGTCAGGATGGTCTTCTGAACCGCCTTGCTTTTCAAGGGCAAGTGATTGAAGTCAATTTTGTCTATCTACTCATTTTGGGCAATTTGAAGTGGCAAGCCCTTGCTTGGCCGTTGAAGCTTGTGGACGCTGCTGATGATGATTATCGCATGATGCGATGGGTTTTGGATTCGTCGTCAAGTTGTCAATGGCTGCAATGCTCTCTGAACATGCCAGCTTTTCAAACAAAGCTAGTCTGGAGCAATCAGTTTGGCATCCACTGGCAACAGGTTGGGCCTCCTGAAACATTTGCGCAGAATTGCTTGCGGCGCTCCAATGGCCTGACATTCACAGATCTTTGCTTGATGGGGAGGCATCTTTTTGGCTCCGAAATCAAAGAGAAGTCTAGGAAGGACATCCTTTTGAAGCTGGCGTTGCATTTCGGAGATGATTTTGCAGAGCTGGTCTTGGAGTGCGACTCTAAGACGACAAAGAAGTCATCATCTGATCCAGATCAAGCAGCTTTGGTAAAAGCTGTGTTTGACCACTTGGACGCGGATGAGCAGAAGGAGTTTCGCTCTGTCAAGGAGAATGTCTACAGGGAGGAGAAAACTCAGAAGCAATTGAAGTGGCGCAAATTGCTCAACGAAAAAATGGAGGAGCAAGCAGCAACTTGGATGAAAATGTTTAAGCTGGTCTGGCTAGTTTGTTCCAGCTGCATTTCAATTTTTCATTTTTTTTCCAAGACAGGCATGTTATTGCATCTACGTTTTTTCCATTTCCAGGAAAAAGCCAAGAAGAAGGCTGCCAAAGGCAAAGGCAAATCCAAAGCCAAAGGGAAGGTGAAGGGAAGAAGCAAAGGCAAAGGAAGAAGTGGCCGAGGCTCAGGAAAAGGGGCTGCAAGCAGTAGCGGAAGAAAAAGGAAGAGGGAAGCTGAAGAAGATGACGAGCGACCAGGCAAGGAAGCAAGCGATGCTGTGAAGATGGAAGACGAAGAGGATTTGGAGGAAGAAGAAGCTCAAGTCAATTTTGTCAATTCAGGCAATTGCGTCAATTCAGATGTGGAGGACCCACTGCCAAATCCTTCTCCAGGTGAAGCAAACGAAACTGAACGTGCTGAAGCAGCAGCTGAACTTGCTGAGGAAGCAGCTCCTCCTGCTGAACTTGCCGAAGAAGCAGCTCCTGCTGCTGAAGTTGCTGAAGGAGCTTCTCCTTCTGAAGTTGCTGAAGGAGCTCCTCCTGCTGAACTTGCTGAAGCAGCAGCTCCTCCTGCTGAACTTGCCGAAGAAGCAGCTCCTGCTGCTGAAGTTGCTGAAGGAGCTTCTCCTGCTGAAGTTGCTGAAGGAGCTCCTCCTGCTGAACTTGCACCCCCGGCTCAACCGGCTGAGCCAGCTCGGCCAGCGCCTGTGCCTGGCAGAGATGTCGGGCCTCGAGTGCACTCAACACCTGCCCTCCTCAGAAGCATTGAGCCCAACAGTTGGTTCAAGTTGAGGCTTGACAAGAATGCGCACAGGTTTCAAGTCGAGATGGACAAGAATAGAACGGTTCAACATGAGCTGTGGGATTCAACCCAGAGACAAATGTATTATTCCAGAAGTTTCAAAGCAACAGGTGACTGGAAAACCGCACTTCAAGAAGTGCACACTTGGATGTGGGAAAAGTTTGTCTTGGCTGGGTTGGAATTGGGGCCTGGAATCCGAGATCAAATTCCAGGAGAAGTCCCAGATGAAGTTTTTGAAGGCCTCAAGGATGAGATGAGTGCGCTGCCACCTCCTAGGAATTATAATAACAGGAGAAAGTAGAAGAGCGCTGGGATGACAAAGTCATCGCCTTAGGGCCTTGGTAAGACGCTCTGGTTGAAGCAAGTCCTTCACCTGATGCACTTGCAAAATCGCAAGAAGATGCTCTGTTTAAAAAGGAATCAAATAATCCTGTCACATGTTGGGGTCTGCTTGTGTTTATTGTGAATTGACTCAATTGATTGATTTGTGTGGTATTATAGCCTGAGGGTTGCACCTGGATGGTATTTTTCAATGCTTTGTCAAATGTTGGGGCCTGCTTCTCATGTGTCAGTGCGAATTGACTCAATTGACTTGAACCAGATTGATTTGTGTAGTGGCCAGTGGTATTGAAGCTTGAAGTTTGTGCCGGGATGGTCTTTCAATGCCAATGCAGGCTGCCAGATTCATCATCAGGCCAAGGACTCAGGAAGCCTTTACTTTTATACGCATGGTCAGAAGCCTTGGACTGGTATTCTTGTCAGTGAAGAAACCAAACAAAATTGTGGACTGGATTAATTCTTTTACCGCAGGTTTTTTGGCCCATGAGCACATTTGTTGGTTTTGCCATTTTGGTCATTTGTGTCAATTTGTTCATCATGGACCAGCAAGCTGGCCTCGCGTTTCTTCCGGTGATGGTGCTGTCCACTGTGACAGCCAGTGCCAGCCTTCAAGGCCCAAGTGCAGCTTCAGAAGATGACGATCAAGAGAAATGGCTGGATGACAAGCTCCAACAGATTTCTTCGTTAGATTTCTATGATTTCTTGGCCTGCAGCAAATTCAATAGGCGCTGATGCTGTTTTTGTTCTTGGAAAATTGAGACAACATGCATCGAAATTGAAATTGAATCATTCTTTGATGATCAATGAATAACCTCGAAGTCCATTTTGTTAATTGCCCTGCAGGCGTGTCGACTGACCAGAAGGACTGCATCATGTCAAGTCCACATGTCAAGACTTTCTTGATTTTGACCAAGAGAATGGCGGCAGGGCCTCGAAAGTGTGGCCTTCATTTTTGTGTGAAGCATATCCTTTTTTGCGCGGCGCAACATCGTGCTTGGAGATGATGGTGCTGGTTGCTGAAAGGTTTCTTTTCAATTTGGTCAATTTCAATGAATTGGATCAATTGGAATTTGTTGAGTTTTGTGCTGGCCGAGCCCATCTCAGTCGAGAGATGCTGCGTCAAGGATTTCACCAAGGAGCTTCTGTGGACATTCTTTTTCATCCCCACCATGACATGTTGAGTTCCAAGGGGCTGAGGACTTGGTTTGACATGGTAGTGGCTTCTCGGCGAAAGTCGTTACACTGGTTTGCTACCAGATGCTCGAGCTTCGTCCCGCTCTGTATCTCTCAAAGCATCAGATATGAGGAGAATTCATTCTACGGGGATAGAAGCAGGCCATGGGTGGAGCAGGGCAACCTTCAACAGGAAGTAACTGCAATGATGATGTTCTTCAGTTTCCTCTTGGATTGCATTCCGGTGTTGGAGCAACCCACAGGGAGTGTGCTTCCAAAACTACCATCCCTTCGTAATGTTTTGTGGTTCTTCGACTTCAAGAAGACAGTGACCTACATGGGAAGCTTTGCTGGCCCAACAAGCAAGCCTCTCCAGATCTGGCATCCGTCTTCAGGGCCTGGCTCCCTATTTGCAGCCATCGCCAGGCCAAGGCCAGATGGCTTGGACAATTTGGCTTCCAGTGGCCAGAGCTGGGATGGAAGCCACACTTACACTGGCAATAAGGAGATGCTCATCGAAAGCGAGCACTACACGCCAGAGTTTGGCGCTTGTGTCGCCCAAATCTACGAGCAGATTCGAGCTTCGTGAAAACTTCACAACGCTCAATTTGCTCAGTGTTGTCCATTCAAACTGTCAGTCAGTGTCTTGAATGCGACAAGAGTACTATAGCCCAAGGGTTCTGACTTTGAGTGGTGCGTCCCTCGGTCAACTTTGACTGTCTCTGTGGGGTCAAGAGGCAACATGGCATTTGCTCCAGCAAAAAAAATGCGCAATCAGTGACAGAGCACTGCAAGTTCAGCGTTGCCATCTCATGTGCTTCAGTCAATTTAATTGACTCATTAGCCCTTTGGCTTTTTGAAATACTTCAAATATGTGTACTGAGGTTGGAATTGTTCTGCTCCGCTACCAAGCTTGCTCCGCTACCTTCAAGAGCTCAATGCAGGCATGCTTGACTTCTTTGACATTTATTATTAATATCACTTCCCATTCGCATTCCCAAAGCAAGACCCAGGATCAGGTCTGGATGACGCTCTAGGCCTGCCTACTGTTTGTTGCTGGTCCTGTTTGCATTTTAAATGTTTTCAAAAGTAATTCTTAATAACTTGCTTGCAAGGCTCGGCGAGAAGTGGCAATTGGATCAATTGACTTCAGCTGATTATGATTGTGGCACTTGAAACAATTGACTGACTGACTAATTGAGTTCAGCTTCTCATCTTCATTCTTTTGCCCACTTGGACAATTGTCGATTTGTGTTTCTGCATGCTTGGGTCAAAGCATGTTGGGCATGGCATGATTTCTTGCCTAGTGATTTTTTATTTTATTTTTTAAAAATTTTTGACATTTTTAAAAATTAAATTTTTGACAGAATTGACCGGTTCAATTGACAAAATTGACACAAGTCACACACATGATCGAAGCAACGACATGATTCAATTCACGCAGGTGAGGTCTTCACAATAATAACACAACCGCAGGTAAACGTTCAATCAACGTTTTACCATATTTTAGATTTTATCTTTTTGAAAATATTTTGTCTTTTTTTAAATATTTTGTAAAAAAATATGAAACCACATTTGTTTGCACAACGTTCTGGACAACAAATTAGTCTACCAAATTTCAGATTAGCCTACCTAAATTTCAGAAATGCCTATGTCATTTTCAAATCACCTAGGCATTTCTGAGATCAGGTAGGCATTCCTGAAAATCATGAACGGACCAACCCCTACAAACTAATACCCTACGATCTGGGATGCATTCTTAAGTTTGTGATGTGTATGATGTTTCTTCATTGATTGTGCATGATGGTGCCATGTTAACATTGCCCAACCCAATCCTTACCAAGAAACATCACTGGGTCAGTAATTTGCCCATATCCCACCAGCCCTGGTGGTGGTGGCGCAAGCGGCTGGGCTGGCAGTGGCTCGGCCAGCGGTGGTGCTGGTGGCTCAGAGGGGCTTGCGCTGCTGCTGGCTGCTGCTGCTGCAGCAGCTGCTGCTGCTGCTGCTGCAACGCGATTTCTGGGCCCAGGTCTGGCCTGCAAGATCCAATGACAAAGTTGATACTGAGACACTTCACTTCAGTAAGTTTTGTAAACAGCTTGTGTCACGCAAATTAAGTTTGCTGACAAGACATCTGAACATTTGCTCGCCTTCTTCTCCGGGCGTGTCATATTACTGTCCAAACCATCAAGGACTTGCCTCACGAATTTCATCATCATTCATTGCACTCAATCATTTGGCTAGGACATGCTTGCAATATGTTGGTGCAATGTCAATGTCAACGAACTTACCATTGACACATATCTTTGCACATCTTTAGGATTGGACTGCCCACCAAGGCGCTGAACCCAGTTCGTATGACCCCAGAGGGTGCATTCATACCAGATGTTGACGGTCTTCTTCAGATGTAAGGCCCACGAGCGCTTGATCTGCAAGCCAGGTGGATAGAGGCTCAGCACCATGCAGCCCCTTAGCAGCGCAAATGGCATTCAGACACTGACATCCTGGCCAGTCAATGGATGACTTAGCAAACGGATGCCTTTGGATTCGGGCAAAAATTGATTCTAATCTCAAGCCTATCAGTGGCTTGCAAGCAAGAAACGCAACAGACATGCAAAATAAAACCGCTTTGTTTCCACACACCGGCATTCCACATGAACTAGTTGGTTGCAGCATGACTTCTCTAAATGAACTCCAAGCTTCCAATCAAAAGACATAGCTTCGGATTCCGGTGTGACCGTTGGGTCCAAGCCGTTGAGGTTGTGGCATGTCACAATCCTTTGGCAATCCCTTTGCCAGTCTTCTGACAGCGATTGGAAAGCGACTCCAACCTCCACCCCAAAATCCTCAGAAGTCAAGCCAGAAAACAATGATCAAACGCAGCTGTATGCATCCGATAGCCAAAACATGTTGCTGGTAAATTTCCTTGACCCATGAAAACAAAATTGCGTATTGCAACCACCAATTCCGTTCGTGTGACATTCTGAAAGTCAAGTCAAGTTGCTTCAAGGACTGCCGCCACAAGAGATACCATGGCAGATGTTCGATGGAAGCCCCGACTGCAGCAAATCCTGCGAAATCACAAAGAGAACTGGTTAGCCACAAAAGCAAAATGTAAAATTTTATAAAAGAGACACTACCTAACATCCAACAAGAGAGCAAGAGTGTCCAGCAATGCCATGTGTGCAATGAAGCAGTCCTCAAAAGCCTGCCAGGCTTAGTGAGAAGGATTCGCAGGCATTGTTGCGCACGAGGGTGCCGGAAGACACTCTGCATGATGTGGGATTCCAGACCTGCTTCTTCTCCATAGCCACCCTTTGGTCCTCCGCACTTTTCCCTTAGCTGTCAATGCTTAAAATTTCACCGCAGGGGCTTCATCCCAAAAAGCACAGAAAAGAATGAATGTGCTCACTGATATCAATGTGGCAAATTCCGAGATTCGTCTTCGGCAAAAGTTGCGCCAACCGATGTTCCCAAA